CATGTGGCACCCCGAATAACATTTCCAGGGAAATTTAAGGAGCCACATTTTAGTGTAGATTTTAGGGGGTCATTCCAATTTCACTAATGGCCCATTTTTATGGACAATGTTGACTGATGGAGTCAGGGTAATTAGCATATGCATGTGCCTGTGAGAGCTTTCAGGATCTTTTCTTCGAGCTATTTGGAAACCTGCAGTCTGTGGATGCGAGCTGATTCCTCCCCACCCACTGTAGCTCTGCACCCCTGGACCACCCTCTCCCATCCCCCACCCCCGCCCCCTACCCTTCCTGACCTCTGCTAACCACTAGGCTTCGCTTGTCTTCCATAAGGCGGCCTCTTTGGATTCCACACATGAGTAAGATGACGCAGTGTTGTCTTTGTGTGCCTGGTTTAGTTCACTGAACATAGCCATGGCATCCGCCAAGCCCCTCCTGGGTTGCTGCAAATGACAAGGTATTGTGCATTCCAATGGCTGAGTCGGTTCCATTCTTGCAAGTAATCAGGTCGCCCTTGCTGTCCCTTCGTCCGTCCGTGGACAGTTAGGTTGATTCCGTATCTTCGCTACTGTCAGAGGGCTGCAGTAGACATGGGCGTGCTGATCTCTCCTGGACGAATGATTGCATTTCCTTTCTATGTACGTAGCTAGGTTATTAGAGCTAATAAGCAGATTCAGTGAACTTGCAGGATACAAAGCCAGCATACGAAAATCAGTACTCTTTCTCGATGCCGTAGCTAACTATCTGCAAAAGAAATATTTAAAAACCAGTCCCAGGGGCTGGTGCTGTGGCAAAGCTGCTCCACTTCGGGTCCAGCTCTCTGCTGTGGCCAGGGAAAGCAGCGGAGGATGGCCCAAGTGCTTGGGCCCCTGCACCCATGTGGGAGACCCGGAAGAAGCTCCTGGCTGCTGGCTTCAGATCAGCCCAGCTCTGTCTTGTGCAGCCATTTGGGGAGTGAACCAGCAGATGGAAGACCCCTCTCTCTCTACTTCTTTGTAACTCTGTATTTCAAATAAATAAGTTTTTTTTTAAATCCCATTTGTAGTAGCTTTTTAAAAATTAGGACTAAATTTAACCAAAGGAGTAAAATATTTCTACAGTGAAAACACGAAATATTGATTAAAAAAAAATTGAAGAGGGCCCACATAAGTGGAAAGGTTTCCTATGTCCCAAAGAGCAGCGTGTGGAACAGTGCCTGTATTGTTCAAGTGTCTATACCACCCAAGTGTCTATGCCACCCCAAGTGATCCAGTGGAATTCCTATCAAAATGCCAGCGACTTTCTTCACAGAACTGGAAAAAACAATCCTACCATTCATGTGTTACCCCCCCAAAAAAACCCTAAATAGCCCAAGCAGTCTTGAGCAAAAAGAACGAAGCTGAAAGCATCGCACTACATGACTTCAGAATATACTACAAAGCAATAATACCCAAAACAACATGGTGCCTGCATAAAAGCAGACACGAAGACTGATGGAAAGCAACAGGGATCCCAGAAAGAAATCAATGCATCTACAGCCGAGAATGCATGCTGGGGAGAGGGCGGTCTCTTCAACAAATGGCCAAGAATCAGACTAGACCCCTGTCTTTCATCACGTGCAACAATCAGCTCACAATGGATTGGAGACTTGAACGTAAGACACAGTGCTTTTACAGTCTCCAGAGGGGTCACCTACTTAACACCTAGCTCAGCAGCATGACGCCATGGAGGGCGGGCCTGGGAGGAGGCCACAAGCTGGTCAGGGTCCCTGCTCCCCGGCCTAGGGGCTTGGCCAGTGCAGGCCCACCCTGTCCTCCTGACTCAGAGCCTGGGTGAGAAGACAGCTGTGAGGTCGGAACTGTGTCAACCCCACAAGGAGTTCGTGATGGGAGCGCAGGTCTGTCCCATTCCCCGTGCAGCCTCTGGTGTGCAGCTGACGCCCGAGGGTGTTGGCCCAGTGGCTGGGCTGAGGTAAGAGGGAACGGGTGTCCAGGCTTCTCAGAGGAACGCCCAGTCTGGTGCTACCTGCTCCATCGGTCTGCACGCCCAGTGGGCCTCACTCGCGCGGCTTCCTGGCACCGGCAGCACCTGGGGAGGCTCCACCCAGGTGTTGACATGTAGTTTGGGTGCCATGTGTTTATTCAGAATCGACACCCATGAGGGGAAGCCGGGCCAGGCAGAGGGAGAGCTCCAACTGCAACCGAGGCCAGACTAAGGCTCCACCAGCTGGCAGAAGGCTCTGGGCGGAGCGCCCTACCCGAGCGCCCTGGCTATGCTGAGCCGGCTCCGTGCTGCTGCCTCGTGAGCCCTGGAAGCAGGTGGCCCTGGCCTTGGGCAGGGCGGCTCTGCAGCAGAGGCCTGGCCTGCGGAGGGCGTGTGCCGACCACACTCCCCACAAGTCCTCTCTGAGCAGATCCATCTGACCACAGAGATTTTCTACTTAGCTTGTGGTACCAAAATCGCGCGTGCACAAATAAGTATGTTTAGAATAGAGACACGCACCCAGTCGCTTGGTGGACAGACCCTTTCCTGTCCATGCCGTTGGCTGGGTCATTGGTGGGGTCATTGGCTCTCTGGAGCAGCGATGTAGAAATGATGATGGTAACATCTCACCGGCCCAAGTGCATGCCTGGCACAGGCCCCCACCGCCGGGGGAGGGCGCGCGGGACGGGGCAGAAACAGTGTTCTGCAAAAGCCCCGGAGCACCCTGGGGGTGACTTTGGTGCTCCTAGGGCTGTGGTCTTTCTGAACCACACACAGCAAACAGTTGGTATTGGAACTCATTGAATGGAGAGAAATCTTTATCTGTGCATCTGCAGTGCGTAAGGTGTAGGTGTAAGGTCAGGCTACGATTGCTTCTCCGTTTTCCAAGTCACCTTAGAGCTCCCCGGCCAGACCTCACCTTGAGACAAGCTGACCAGAGCGTGGAGGAGGGGCCAGCTCCGGGGAGGCCAGCTTCCCTGAGGACGGAGCTCTCTGGACAAGAGGGCCTGGCTGGGGCTGGGAGCCTGTCCCGCCATGCTCCCATCTGAAGGCCAGGGGGCGCTCTGGTCCTCAGACGGCAAACTTGAATGGAAGCTCGCGAACTGACGAACATTAAAGAGCGTGGAAGCAGGGGCCAGGCAGGCTGTCACTCCCTGAGGCAGAAAGCTGGTGGGGGTGCCCGGGGGCATCGCCTTCTGAATGCTCCGTGGCGGCCTTGGCTTCGAGTTTAAGCCGACCCCATCATGGAAACACTACCCATAGCCACACCACGGTGGTGCTGGTCAACCAGACCAGAGTGGAAGGCGCCCGCTGTGGGCGGCCCCTGCCTTGCTCAGGACTACTCAGAACAACTACGACTGGCACATGGGAGAAACCATGCTGCACATCTCACCGGGCAACCCACAGGGCCGCGGGAACGCTGGGCAAAGCACAGGTGTCGGGCCTGGGTCTGGCCAGTCTGACCCTCGACTGCCCGGTTCCCCAGGCCACATCACTGCCCAAGGGGAGGGACTGTGCCATCACTCAGCATTGCAATCTCTGCTTTTGACAAGTTTTCTGGCAGCTTAACTCTGATACTTGAACTACATATTTCAGAAATGGTCAATTTTATTTTTTTATAAAATTTATTTATTTGAAAGACAGACTTGCAGAGAGAAATCTGCCATACACTGGTTCACTCCGCAAATGGCTGTAATGACCAGGCCGGGGCTGGGCTGAAGCCGGGAGCCAGGACCTTCCTCCAGGTCTCCCACGTGGGTGCAGGGGCCCAAGCACTTGGGCCATCCTCTGCTGCTTTCCCAGACACATGAGCAGGGAGTTGGATTGGAAGTGGAACAACTAGGACGCGAACCATCGCCCATATAGGATGCCAGCGTTGCAGGAGGCAGCTTCATATTTCCACAATACTGGCTCCTGGCTAATATTAGATCTTTATGTTTTTTGTTTTTTGGTTTTTGTTTTTTTTTTGACAGGCAGAGTGGACAGTGAGAGAGAGAGAGAGAGAGACAGAGAGAAAGGTCTTCCTTTGCCGTTGGTTCACCCTCCAATGGCCACCGCGGCCAGCACACTGCGGCCGGCGTACTGCCCCGATCCGAAGGCAGGAGCCAGGTGCTTCTCCTGGTCTCCCATGGGGTGCAGGGCCCAAGCACTTGGGCCATCCTCCACTGCCCTCCCGGGCCACAGCAGAGAGCTGGCCTGGAAGAGGGGCAACCGGGACAGAATCCGGCGCCCCAACCGGGACTAGAACCCGGTGTGCCGGCGCCGCTAGGCGGAGGATTAGCCTGTTGAGCCGTGGCGCCAGCCGATATTAGATCTTAATAAATGTATTAATCCAATGTATTGTGCCTATTAGACACACATTATGTGTAAGTGGTGAGCAGAGGGTACGAACACAGAGCCAGAACAGGTACACCCATGAAGCAACCTAAGAGCTCATCAGGGGAAGCTCTGTATTCATTCTAGCAAGGCTGTCACAAGTGATTGTCATCCAAGGGGTTTCACCTGCCCTTGACTGTGGCGGCCGCGCTTGGTGTTCACGTGCTGGCCCCAGGCCAATGCTGTAATGCTTTCTTGCCTCCAGCTGCCTGTGCACAGCCTTTGCATTACTTACGCTCCCTGTGGCTTTCCATGTTAGACTCACGTAGTTTCTTCCTCTCATGTGCTTCCTCCTAATTAATGAGGCGAAGTCCATGGAGCCGGTGCAGTAGTGTAGAAGGTGAAGCCTCCACCTGCAGTGCCAGCATCCCATCTGGGAGCCAGTTTGAGTCCTGGCTGCTCCACTTCCTATCCAGCTCCCTGCTCATGTACCTGGGAAAGCAGTGGAAGATGGCCCAAGTGGTTGGGCCCCTGCGCCCATGTGGGAGACCCAGAAGAAGCTCCTGGGTTCAGCCTGGCTCAGTCCTGGCTGTTGCGGCCATCTGGGGAGTGCACCAGCAGATGGAGGATAGTCTTTTTTTAAAAAAAAAATATTTATTTATTTTAGTATTTGAAAGGCAGAGCTACAGAGAGGCAGAGTGTATGGTGGGGGGGGGGGAGAGAGAGACACATGGAGGGACGGAGGGAGGTCTTCCGTCTGCTGGTTCGCTCCTCACTGGCCACAGTGACCAGAGCTGAGCCAATTTGAAGGCAGGAGCTTCTTCCAGGTCTCTCACACGGTACAGGGACCCAAGGACTTGGACCATCTTCCACTACTTTCCCAGGCCATAGCAGAGAGCTGGATGGGAAGTGGAGCAGCCGGGACTCGAACAGGTGCCCGTATGAGATGCCAGCGCTGCAGGCAGCAGCTTAACCCACTATGCCACAGTGCCAGCCCCAATATTCATTCATTCATCTCTCTCTCTCTTATATACATATATATATGAAAGAAAGAGGAAGTCTGCCTTTTAAAATAAATAATCTTTTTTTAAATTTTTTTAAAGATTTTATTTATTTGAAAGAGTTACAGAGAAAGATAGAGACAGGGAGGTCTTCCATCCGCTGGTTCACTCCCCAGTTGGCCACAATGGCTGGAGCTGTGCCAATCTGAAGCCAGGAGCCAGGAGCTTCCTCCAGGTCTCCCACGTGAGTGCAAGGGCCCAAGCACTTGGTCCATCTTCTACTGCTTTCTCAGGCCACAGCAGAGAGCTGGATCAGAAGTGGAGCAGTCGGGTCTCGAACTGACGCCCATAAGGGATGCCAGCACTGCAGGCAGCGGCTTTAAACCATTGCCCCACAGCACCAGCCCCTAAATAATCTTAAAAAAAAAAAGAAAAAGAAAACAAGGAAAATCCAATGCTTTTGTGTCCCCTTGGAGAAAGGACGGTGTTGAAACCGAAACCACAGCAATGCTCTGTGCCCTGGGGACATCAAATGCTTCCTCCAGAGAAGAACGAATCCTGGGGTGGCTGGCGGTGCTCCCTGGAAGTCCCATTTGATCAACTGGGGAAAACCTGGGGACACGTTTGGGCAGGGGAGAGAGGAAAACTGCTCAGCCGAGACAGTTTTAAGGTATTTGGAGATTTTATTTCCTTCGTCCAGTCTCTGACCTCTCCACACTCTTCATGTGTCTGTCTGATCTTTAACTGCACACATTTCAAATAGCAGGAGGATGAAAGCAGCAGCAAGCAATGAGTATTTTAAATGCACATTAAAAAGCAACCTTCCAACATGTGGAATGTTTTCACATGTGACAAATTTGCAAAATAGTTAAAAGCACAAAGCAAAAGTGAATTATGGTCGATTTTTCCGGCCGCATCTCTGGATTTTAAGCTTTGGAAATGTTGGCACTAGGAAGAAGCACGGGGTAAATAGCTCCCAGCAGCTTTGGAAAGCGGAGGATCTCCAGAACCGACCCATCTCGTTGGGAGCACCCAGGGTGGACCAGAGACCAGCGACACATCCCCGCCCAGATCAACCCGTGGCCAGGTGCGCAATCCAGGAACCACCAGCCAGACACGGAAATGGCTTGGAAGCCAACAGACTCTGCATGACCAGGAGCTCACTGCCCAGTCCTGCAGGTAGCTCCATGACAAGAACAGGGACCTCACTGGTCCAGAACAGACCAAGCAGTCCCGAGCGGAATCCGATCTGAGATTGTTCGGGAGGATTCTAGATGAAGGATCTGTAAGAACTGGCACAGGTGTCAGGCGCAAAACCAGGGAGGCAATTTCCTGAAGATGGAAGTTTTCAGAAAAGCGTCCGTTCTTAGGGACTCCGGCAGCAGTCAGTGCCTCTGCCCCTGTGTGGGGACACGGGGATTCACAGTGCTCCTCCCCAGAGCAGCCGCGTTGGTGCTAAGACAGGTGGCAAGGCCAGGGCGTGGTCTGCGAGGTGGTGCCTTAGTCTTCCTTGGGAAATGATTGTTGCTGCCAAGAGGTCATCGACAGCCTCCTAGAGTAGCCGATTTTGAGAACTCGGATTTCCCAACTTCTCACTACAAGTCGGAATGTTGTTCCCATTCTTCTCTTTCCGAGCTGTGTGTGTTTCCTTTTCTGTGTCCTTTGTTCCCCCTTGGTTTCTCTCGGGTCCCATCAGCGGGGAAACTGTTTTCAAAAGCACCATCTGCCCCGCCCTGGGAGAAGACCCCTCAGAGGGAGAGGGCTCCAGAGGTTGTCTCCAGCAGCATTGATGACAGCTTCAAGCTCCCCTCTCTCCTTGTGAATGAAACCCACTGGGCGTGGCTGATGCACCCCAGGTTCTTGAGGGTTTTCACGAGATCTCGGCGGAACCTCTCGCCCACGAAAACGTAGAGAACGGGATTCAGGCAACTGTGGAAGAAGGCGACGGTCTGAGTGACCTGGAAGCAGATGTCAATGTTGATGGAAAAGGCACAGCTGGAGATGAACATGACGTAGGCGTCGATGGTCTGCAGCAGCAGGATGCAGTTGTACGGGAACTGAGACAAGACGAAGACGGTCAGGACCGCGATGGTCACCTTCAGGGCCTTGTGTTTGGAGGACTTCTTGGCTTGGGTCAGGGTGCGGATGATAATGGTGTAGCAGCAAGCCATGACCACAAAGGGGAGGAAGAAGCCCAGGATGACCTTCAGGGTCAAGACAAGGGACTTGAGTTTGGTGCTCTCGTCCCGGGGGTAAACCATGGTGCACATGCTGATGCCCGATTCCTTCCTGATTTGGCTGTACAGGAGCTCTGGGATGCACAGTGCAGCCGCCATCACCCAGACTGCAAAGCAAACCAGCTTGCTGTAGAGAAGCCGTTTCTGCCTCCAGATCTGGGCTCGCATGGCCTGCGCGATGGCGATGTACCTGTCCACGCTGACGCACGTGATGAGCAGCACACAGCTGTAGAAGTTCATCTTGTACATGCTGTTGACCACTTTGCACAGGAAGGTCTGGAATTGCCACTGGTCAGCGGCGGCGATGGCCCAGAAGGGGAGCGTGGCCAGAAAGAGCAGGTCAGCAATCGCCAGGTTCAGGAGGAACATGTCGGTCATGGTCTTGACCCTCGTGCAGTACCAGTAGACGAGAACAACCAGACTGTTACCCACAGTGCCTGCGATAAAGACCAGCCAGTACAAGGGGGGCAGGAAGTAGCTCGCGAACTGCCTGACGTTGCTTTTCTTACAGAAGAGGTCGGTGAAGTTGAAGGCCATGTACTCGTCTATGGAAGACGTGGCGTCATAGCTGTAGTCATCAGACATATTGGGAATAAGGCTCTGCAAGGGGACACAAGGCAGCATGAGGTCAAGGGCAATCTTTTGGAGATCCTGTCTGGTGGCAGATGCATGGGCCACTTGGCTCTTCCTACCCCGAAATCTGTGAAAAGGCAGAGGACCCGTGTGTGTAGGGAGTAGGAATTGTGAGGTCATGTATGAGGCTGTGCTGCAGTTTGGGTAAGGTTTGAGTGCGCCTCCACAATGTTCCTGTGCCGGGCGCCTGGTCCCCAGCACGGTGGCATTCAGGTGCGGGACCTGCAAGAGGTAGGCAGCTCACTGAGGGGTGCGTTCGGTTGCCTTGAGACCCCACTAGGTTCTGAGAGAGCGGCCGTTAGAACGAACGTGCCTGCCAAATCCCTCTTGCTCCCCGTCCCGCCACGGGACCGCTGTCTCCCTCTCACACATGCTTTTTCCGTGCTGCCGTCTACCGCGCGGTGATGTATCCAGGAGGCGCTTGTCAGAGGCTGAGCCGGTGGGGTCAGCAGATCTTAGCCTTTCAGCGCCCAAGACTCTGAGCTAAACAAACCTGTTTTCCTTGTTCGACGCCCAGCTTTGGGGAGCTTTCGAGGGCCAGACACGGGTTATAGCAGTCTTTATTCAATAAGAATTTCCTGCTCATCCACCGGCTACAGGTTCACTATACTACAGGGTGCCTAAGATGCAGTAGAAAATCGGGTAGATATGGCTTCCCCATCACGAAACTGCCCTTAGTCATGGAGGGTCTAACTCTCACTGTCACAAAGACCAGAGGCCTCATCCCCTCACCAGGACCAAAGCAACTACCTGCCCTGAGTGTGCAGTGCCCCAGCCGGGAACGTGTCATGCTCACGAATCATGAGTCGACTGTGAAGAATTCGGTTAATTTAAACTATTTCAACCATGACTCCGGCAGAGTTGATGGAAACCTGCAGTGGATGTGAGGGGCAGCTCTGGGCCCTCCAGGAAGGCTGCGTTTCCATGATCGATGCGTCAGACTCAGACTTTGAGAAACCCTTAGGCACAGTTGTAAGGCATTTATAAATACAATAAAAGCACTGGGATGTGAGTTGATCCTATAGTTAATTGCATTTGGCTGTAAAAGAAAAAAAAATTCTCTGGATAATGATTTGGTTCACCTATGTTTGTCCAGAGAAATATATACCATGACATAAGGCCTGCAGAATATTGTACAAGAGAGAGAGAGAGAGGGCACCCACCTTGGGTCTCTTAAAAGCAATTCAAAGATTTAGTTAGTTAGTTGAAAGGCAGAGTGACATAGAGAAGGGAGAGAGATCTTCCATCTACTGATTCACTCCCAAATGGCCACCACATTGGCCAGAGTGGGGCCAGGCTGAAGCCAGAATCCTGGAACTCCATCTGGGTTTTGCACATGAGTGGCAGGGGTCCAAGCACACGGGCCAGCTTCTACTGCCTTCGCAGGTGCCCTATAGGGAGCTGGACTGGAAGTGGGGTGGCTGGGACCCTGCACGCTGGTATGGGATGCCCACGATGCAAGTGGCAGCTTAACTCACCGCACCACAATGCCAGCCCTGTTTTTTACAAACAATTCAGGGGTGGGCATTTTGCCTGCCAATTTAGACCCCACTTGGGACACCTGTGTTCTATATCAGGGTGTCCGGGTTCTGGTCCTGGCTGCCTTAGGATTCCAGCTTCTTGCTAATGTGCACTCTGGGAGGTAACAGGCAGTGGTTCAAGTGATTGGGTCCCTGCCACCCATGGGGGAGACGTGGTTTGAGTTCCCATCACCTGGCTTCAGCCTGACCCAGCCCTGGCCATTGCAGGCATTTGGAAAGTAAACAAGTCCGCAGGAGATTGGTCTCTGTTTCTCTCTGTCTCTGTCTCTGCTTTTCAAATACATAAAAAGTAACACAAAAGCAATCTCAATGGCTTCTCTCTCACCCTCTTTTGCTTGACTTTCAGAAAATGCAATCAGCCAGGCCTAGTGAAAGAGCCTAACAACCGTTCACGATCAATAATGTGAAAGGCACACTTTCCCACGTGTTCACAACCGCCCCTGCCCAAGCCCTGGGACTCTGCATCTGCCAGGCCCACCGTGCTGGCCCACAGCCGACCACAGCGAGAAGTGCGTCCCCACCACAGGTTCCTTCCCACGCCCCCAGAAAGGGGAAGAGGAGAGTGAGTGTGTTCTAGGCACCCAAGGGCACAGCTGTACTCACTGCGAATTCCGTGGGGGTCATGGTGGTCAGCCGCAAGCCTGCGTCTAGAAAGAGAGGGCGAAAATCAACAGGGACCCGGCTTGCAGTTGTCCAGGTAACAACCAAACACCAGAAGGTCAGAGATTAAATATTAAATGTTTTTGTACCTGTTGAGGGGAGAAGCCCCAGGAGGAGTTAGAGCCCGTGTTCTGCTGACATCATGCCACAGTCTAGACACAGAAATGACAGGGACCTCTCGTTTGAAGTCATCCTGTACCTTTGACTCTGATTTCTGTCACCTGATTCCAGCTTTTCTCTGCTAGTTTGATGGCAGTTGGCCCCACATCTTCCACCCAGGGGTGGGGGGCAAGGCGGGGCTCCCAAGTGCCCCCCCACCCAGCCTGTTTGCATCAGTCCATCTTCCCTGGAGCCCACCCCTCCCTCAAGTCCTGGGTGGCTCCGTGGCTCTCCTCCCCCACCCCATTCCACCAGCTAAGGGATTGGCAGGTGTTCACAGGACAGATGTTGCTTTGAAAATGTTCTAGGCCCAGGGACCTCTGGGTAAGCAGGTGATGAGAAGAAAACACCCCTAAATAACCCAAGAAACAATAGCTTGACCGATTCTTCATCTGTGCCGGGGCTGGAGCGCTTCCTTTTATACCCTGAGCACCAGGAGATTTCGAAGAAGCATGGCCAGGGCCACACCTCCAGATTCTGGAAGAAAAGTTGCTCCTTCGAAAACCCACCCCTCACCTGCTGGCTCCGTTTCCATGACGACATTGTGACCCGCCCTCTTTGTCTGAAAGTACGGTGGTTTTCAATACATAACGTGCGGTACAACCTCTTTGGAAAACAGGCTGGCAGTTGCTCGCTTCCCATGTGAGTTAACCGTACCTCCCCTAAGTATTTGGCTCAGAAAAATGCAAGCTCATGTCCCACAGAGACTGGTGAATGAGTGCAAATGGCAGCTTCATTGGTAACAGCCAAACCCCAGAAGCAGCCCGAGTGGCTGGCAAGCCATGAATGGATGACTATTCTGTGGCTGTCCAACAGAGACGTAAAGAACGAGTGACTGCTTCACACAGCAACACGGCGACTTTGAGAAGAAGCCAGACCACAAGTAGTACAGGCAGAGGGACCCACCTGGATAAAAGCACGTGATGCAAACTACAGCAACAGAATGGGGAGGTTTCCTGGGAAGTGAGGAGCTGGCAAAGGAGGGCCTGAGGGCAGGTGGGGTGCAGGGCACAGGGGTGACTAAAGGGTGGCCGAACGGCTCACTGCATCCTGAATGGGAAGAAGCCGCAGGTGCACCCAGATGGCAGAACACACAGCCCGAGTTTTAAGTACTTGGCAGCTGATTGTAATGGGACCTCAATCCAGCTGTTACCGTGAGGGGGGAAGGAAACTCGGTATGATGGAGGCTTGGATTTTCTTCATCAGAGCCATGCCTGGCTGTCAGGAGCCCAGGGGAAGGCAGCGGGAGCTTCCCCCTTTCCAGCTTCTCTGCCAGCCACTTCTGAAAGGTGCCTTGCACTCTTATGGTGCAATTCAGGGACCGGTATGAACTCATGTCTTTAAGATTATGATAGAGAATAGGTGATGGATGGAGAGAGATAATAAAGGATTAATAGGTAGAACAGATGACTGAGAGGTAGTGACAGGTGGCAGACTAGACGATGGATGGATGGATGAAGATGGATGCACAGGGGGTAGACAAGGATGGACAGACGGACAGCGAGTGTGTGTGTGTGTGTGTGTGTGTGTTTCCCCGCTCTGCTGAGCAGGCCTAACAGCACTGACACACTGTAGCATGAGCGCTAGTGGCCTGCTCTTGGTTTCTCGATGCCTGTCCGTCCTAAAAGAACGGGGGCTCCTTGGAGAACTGTCGGGTTCCGGAGCCAGGACAAGGAGACTATAAGATGAGCCAGGGACAAGGCTTTTGCCCCAGAAAGCAAGGACATGCTCAAAAGACCGTGAGGACTTGGCAGAAGGATGCGCAGGGGTCGACTTAACAGGACTCCTGCTGACTCCTGAGAGCACGTTTAATCCAGCAGACGTCTGTGGCGGCAAAAGTCCTGGCGAGGGAGTGGGGAGAAGAGAAAGGTCTTCTGAGGATGCCAACAGGAAGTCCTGAAGAGGCGATGAAGGCAGAAGAGCACGGGTGGAAACTGACTCAGCCAGGGAACCTTAGGACTCGGCTGTCGACCCTGCCTCAAAGCTCCGCCCCGATGCCAGCCCCAACACACAGCAAATCAAAGACAGAGGAAGACAGAGGCCAGCAGCTTCAGCCGGGCTCTAACTGACGGCACCATCGCCCTAAAAAGGTGCGTGGAGGAGGCAGGCTCGGCATCTTCCTTCCTGACACAAAACATCCCAAGGAGAGGAAGCACCTGCCCACCCCTGCCCAGCGACTTTCTACAAAGCAGCCGGCTGATGTTATCCCAAGACAGCAAGGTCAATGACGCAGAGAGCCTGGGCCGCAGTCCCAGAGTCGGACAGGACATGGAGATGCAACCCCGGAACCAGAGGGCTGCTGCCTATGATGCAGCCATCCCACACCGGAGCGCCAGTTGGAGCCCTGGCTGCTCCACTTCTGATCCAGCTCCCTGCTCATGCCCCTGGGAAAGCAGCAGCAGATGGCCCATGTGCTTGGGCCCCCGCACCCACGTGGGAGACTGTACCCATAATGAAGGTCTTCCCTTTTCACATCTTGGCTGACAAGGGCGGGCTGCTGGTGCTGCAGCTGATCTGTGAACAACAGCGTTGGCCTGCGAGGCTCGGAAAGGCCACCAGCACACAGAGCTGAACACCTGCGCCATCCGTGTTGGGCCCCACTGCTTCCCGCACCTCCACCTGCGCCACCCCTCCCCTCTCAAACCCTGCGTGCGGGCGTGGGCTTGTTGGAAGGGACAGGCACGTTCCCCAAAACACTGCTTCTTGAAATAAGCTCTCACCAGCTCTCATCGCTGTTGAATTAATTGGCTATGCAGCAGCGAGGGCCTCATTATTCTGCCTTAATCAGACTGGGACAGAGTCCCTGGCTCCTGGCTTCAGCGTGGCCCATTTGGAGTGAGGGGTGGAGTGAACCAGCAGATAGAAAAATTCTCTCTCTCTCTCTCTCTCTCTCTCTCTCTCTCTCTCTCTCTCTCTCTCTCCCCCCTTTCAAATAATTTTTTTTTAAAGATCCTGGGTTTGGCCCTGGAGCTAGGGGGTGGGGCATTACTAGGAAATCAAGGGCATTTTAATGTGAGCTGTAAATCGGATAACTACAGTGTTGGCGTTAAATTTCCCGATTTTCTGACCGTGCTGTGGTTCTATGGGAAAACGTCTTGCTCATAGGAAGTACCTGCTGGAGGAATCGGGGGTAAATTCACAGCATCTTCAGCTTAGTCCCAGTGACTCAGAGAATTATGATGGCTGAAGGCACTTCCACAAAGTCTGTGGGAAATGGGGTTAAAAGGTCAGCGTGGGGTGGGCATTTGGTCTGGTGGTTAAGATGCTGGTGCATCCCAAACTCGAGTTCCTGGGCTTGAGCCCAGCTCCACTTCCGATTCCAGCTTCCTGCTAATGCAGACCTGGGGGAAAGCGGTCTGTGGACCAGGCAGTGGGGTCCCTGCCACCCAGGTGGGGTTGAGTACCCGGCTCCCAGTTTCTGCCTGGCCCAGCCCGGACTGTTGTGGGCATTTGGGGACTGAGCCAGTGGCTAGGAGATCTCTCGCTTTCTCTCTCTCTCTCAAAAAAAAAAAAAAAAAAAAGTAGTAGTTTGGTATAATATTAATCTCAAAATCCATGCATATGAGGAGTGTTCAAAAAGTTCATGAAAATGCATATTATGGAAAAAAACTATAGATGGAAAAAACTGCACCAAGATAGGCTTATCTCTTAAATCCATGTTTTCAAACACCTTGAGGTATTTGTGAGTGTGTGTGTGTGTGTGTGTGTGTAAGGAGAGAGAATGCCAATGAGGCAAAATGAAGACAATGGTTGTGGTAAAGTGTCTGTGAACACTCTACACAATTCATGCTTTTCACTAAGTTGGAATTAGATTCGAATAAGAGTTACAAAAGGAAAAGGAGAAAAATGCCTTGGAAATGGATTCCAAGACCTTAGAAAGCCTGGAGCAGGCCTGAGCTGAAACCAACACGGGCAGCATCGGCCACCGGCCACGACCTCCCAGCAGCACCCGGGCGTGAGCCAAGTGCCACGGCAGCCCGCTGAGTGTCGGGAAGATTCCGGCATGCATCTTTTAAAAATATTAAGTTTCCCAATGAACTATGATAAAAAGCACCCCATTTTTGTATGAAATCTGACAAACACGTGACAGCTGAGAGGATAAAGCCACCTGTGAAGTGCTGGCCACTTCTCTCCTGGCTATTTTCAAATAGTTCCCAGCGAAGGGGAAACGCATTTCCTCAGGGAAGCCGTGCTCTGTGCCTTTCCCCAGGTGTTTCTGCGTTGGGGGTTCCTGGGCTCTCTGGAGTGGTTTCCACGCAGCATTGCCGCAGGTGCCGTTAAAAACCCCATCAGCCTGCTTGGCGATCCCACTAGCCGCCACCCTGGGGCTGGGAATCGGGTTTACTTCGTTGTTTTTTGCCTGATGACAAACGGCCAGTGATCACATTGCATCTCATTACTGCTTGGAGAACTGGAAGGTTGGCTTTGGAGACATGGGTTAGGAGACATTGCATGTTCTCCTAGTGTGCCCGGCTTATGTCACCTCCTGTTTACTGACTGAAGAACGTGAGTGAATCAGAGAACACCTGAGAAAAATTCCCAAAGAAGCCACCAAAGGAGGGTGGGGAAAAAGGCCCTGGTGCTAGGCAGTGATGGAGGCAGCAACAGATGACAATGACATTGCTAAGACTTTGGGGTCAACCCTCTGCACCGCCGTGGGGAGTGAGAGTTTACCACGGCCTCTGTGGAGGTGAGAGCTGAGGCTGGTGAAATGGATGAAGCGGTGAGTCTGACCCAGCACCTCACCTGCTGGTGTTCTCACAAGGAAAAAAAAAAAAAACCACAAAGATGCGCATAAAGAGACATTAAGATGGATTTCCAAAATTTTCATGGGAAACGTGTGTGATGGAAAACCAAGGCATGGATCTCAAAATTTCTTTCTGCACCAAAACACCCTTATCTTTTAAATCCATGTTCCATGAACTTTCCTTACATGTTATGCAAGATTGTCTTCGAGAAAACAACCTTAATAGCCAGCAATTAGCAACGTTAGGATACAGGCATTCCCTAAACCACAGGTGGACAGAAAAACAAACTAAAAATAGACCTCAGGGCTGATAGAAGAGAACAAGGTTTTCCGGTTGACCCGCAAGGTGCAGGAGAGGGGGCTGCATGATCTGCTCACGTGAACTTGTCTGCTCTTCCCCGCTGCTAGGTGTGGAGATGTTTCTTGGAAGGAGACTGAGCCATTTTGAAGAGTGGTGGAAAGTGAGATTTTGATCTAGGTTTTGTAGATGATTTACATATTTTACCAAATGTGTGAAATTTTATCTTAAGGGCTATTGTAAGAATAGCATCAGCTTTTTTTCGAAAAAGCAACCCAGGGCCCTTCCACCCAGCCCACCTGTTTACAAAACTTGAAGGGGCCCCCTGCAGCCTACCCCAGCTGCGACAGAAGCCAATCCCACACCAAGCACCAGGCTAGCAGTTAGAGCCCCCAAGGCTCCTCTAGGCATCGTGCAATCCTTCCCCGGGCCTGGCTCTCTGGATGTGGGCACGCGGACCTGCAGGTGGCCTTGCAGCTATGTCTCTGTCCTCTCAGAGGCTTGCTGACCATGCTGTCCGCCAGCGGCAAAGGTGCCTACTTACGTTCATTTCCTTCCTGCCCCTGAGCAGGAGGGAGGGCAGAGGGAAGAAATCCCACACAGGCCACAGCACAGGGAGAGCCAGGAGCCCCGGCCCCTGCTGGGAGTGACCGGTGTCCTAATCAGCAGCTCATCTCTGCCCCCACTTTTGGGGGTGGCTTTGTAATGGGCACAGCAGTAGCCCAAGTTCTTAAAGGCTGCCTGTGTTTGTGCTACGTGGGGGTGTGTGGTAGGGAAAAGCACACTGGACCCAAGGTCAAAGTCCTCATCTACCCCTCCATCCA